TATGGCGTCTCTTTACTCAGAAACAAAATTTATGGGTTTTTTTGGACAAAGCAATATTTGCTGAAGAATTCCTCTTTTTGGGATGTCAAAGATAACTCGAAGGGGTCTTGGATTTGGCAGAAGTTGCTTAAGTAAATGCCTCTAGCATACAAATTATTCAGGTTCAAGATTAGGGATGGGAGTACTGCTTTATTTCTGGTTTTATAATTGGATGGACATGGGCAGGCTCATAGATATCACACGGGATGTCGAAACTACCTATCTTGGGCTGGCTAGACAGGCAACTGTTAGTGAAGCAGGGAATCAGGAGGGCTGGTGTATAAGGGGGGAAGGAGTCGACGGTTCCAGGTTCTGCAAACACGGATTATGGCAGCGCAGTATCCCCAATCCAATTTCGGAAGTGATATAGTCCTTTGGAAACATGGAAAGAATGACTATCAAGAGAGATTTTCTTTGCTGCCACTTGGAATCAAATTGGGAGTAAGAAGGATAAAGTGGATTAGAGCAGGGTAGTGTGGTTCACGCAAGGTGTTCCTCGGTACGATTTTATCACTTGGCTTGCTGTGAAAAACAGACTGTCTACAGGTTACATGATGAGGCAATGGGGAGCGATTCAGGGGTGTGAGCTATGTGGAGAGAGAGAGATGAGACTAGATATCACTTTTTTGGCTGTCCTTATTCTTATAATGTGTGGGAGGCATTAGCCAGGCGGCTCATGGGTACTAGTATTAATCCAGATTAGCATTGGACTGTTTAGCACCTTCAGCATAGCCAAACTCATCGCGTTACGGTGTTCTTGCCATGATGTTTTTTCAGAAATCTATATACCATTTATGGAGGGAGAGAATGCTAGAAGACATCATCAGGTATGGACAACAACTGATCAAACGACGAGAAGAATAGACAAAGCTGAACAGAATTGTGTCGCTCTAGTGTAAGTATGAACATAAGTTGAGAGGACTTTTAAAACGCTAATTTTACCACACGATGTAAATGTTAGGCCATTTGGGGATAGCTTAGTTCATATTTTAGTTTTTTTTTAAGTAATATTACTTTTTTGATTGAGCAATAAATTTTAAATTTCATCAGAAAAAACAAATTGAAATAAAAACCACAAACAATCATCACTTAAATTAAATTCATTTTTTATAAAATCCATAGGGGACAGACCCCCTCCCTTTTTAGCTGTAAATTCCTCATTGGTTCTCCCTTGTAAGCGACATGAGACCTGAAAAGTTTACTTGTGTGTCTCTTTCATTGAATAACACTAAATTTGATTTGAATTCCAAGAAATTGTACCAGAATCTATATAATAATAGGAGAGTTTGCTCTCTCCTAAAGGTGTCCACCTAAGCACTAAGTGGGTTCCACACAAAAATTAAGTGATTAATTGATCTTAAGCTTCATAATTTCTGATTGTTTTTTGGCCTTTGATCTCGGTGGCCCATTAAACATATGTTTTATGTACATCCTAGGTCAGCTTAACTAAACCCGAGTTGTGATAAAAAAGAAAGCTTATTAGTTGTCTAAAGTTCCTCTTCATTGTAGATGTAGGGTTTCTCCATCAAAGCGACACACCTCACAACCACGCATGTTACCTTTCAAGAAGGTAATCACAAGAAGAGACTGATATTAGCATTTGATTTTACTATCGAAGAGTTTCGAGAGATGTCATTTCGTGATGAGCTCAGTATTGTCCAAATAGTGTGGCCAGAAATTTCAACGGGCGTCTCTGTGTGTTCAATAGATCATACGATTTGCATGATGATATTTGGTGCTGAATGACTACGGTGTAGCAAGTTCATAGTTTCACAAGTCTTGACTTCTTTAACAATAAAGGAATTTGATAGGTAATATTATTACAAGTACTAACGAGATGAAAATACCACAGGAAAGAAAGTGAAGAGCTACTCTTACCGTAGGGAAGAATTTTTAAGTTGAGAGAAAGTAATGTTATTAAATAGAATGATATATCAAGGTTTCGGTTATGACTTTTTTTTATAAAAAAATCTTCAAACACAGCTTAAGAGTTGCAGCAGCAGAGGTTTTCCGATGTGCTGAGACAATGGGAGGGATTCAGAAGAAAGAGAAGCGTCAACTGGGGACCTTTACACGGATCTCTTTGTCATATTTTTTTCTGTGAATAGTAAATCATTTAATCATGTACCATCTCATGTATCCTCAACTATATTTGTGAAGACCCATGAACTGATTTCCTATGTAAAGCTGGGATCATCGGTGTCCTCCAGCAGTACGAGTAGAGTTATGTCTCTTGCACTGATTGCAGCAGGTGCAAAAGTTGTCTATCAACAAATTACAGGTGCCTTCAGGTCTGAATAGCCATACTTTGTCCTAGTTTTTGCCATATCCAACTTTCACTAACCACTCGCATATAACCCTCTTCTTCTCAGGCACCGTGTTGAGTTGGTTGTGGACGATGTATGTGTGTGTCGAAGATATGAAGATAAGAAAACTAATCACGAAAGACCTCACTGGTTATTGAGAAGGTTTTCTTAAGTCCTATGCATTTAAAATCAAACGTCACAAACCAATAAACTCAATATTTAAAACTACACACTTAAAAGTTAATATGTCTAATGTAATTTTATGATACCATATTGTTCGACTTAAATATAAAATACAATGATATTTAACTATCGATTATACTCACGATTGAAAGCATTCAAAACAGTTGAATCCCTTCATATTTGTTCACCTCTATTAGCATTATTAACAACTTCAAAAACAGATTAAAAACTTTAAAAATTATCAATACATATTGAACACAAGACTAACGAATGAAAACAACTAAGCATATATCTCCGTGCTTGCGCGGGGCCTGGCATCTAGTTTGAATAGGAAGGCCGCGAGCCTGAACTAATATCAAGATGCAATAAGTTCCTATTAAGAAAAGAGAATTCAGCCAAAAAAAGCACCAACTTTGCACGAATTGCCAAAAGAAATCTGTACTCGAGTCTGACCAAAAGAAACATGAATTTTTGTTGACTTTATTAGTTTATTAAGAAACTTACGATTGACTCGCCATTTTAACACACCGTTAACGAGCAGTTAAGACAGTGTTAACTCGGGCGTTAATTTTTGACTTTAGGATGAAACGACGTCGTTTTTAAGCGATTTGAAAATAAAAGATGTAGACCCTTGGATTCGAACCCGGGTTGATTGGATCAAATGGCAAGGTAGTTTACCACTGGCTTAGTGGTACATTCAATGTATCAACTAACACATTTACTTATATTTAGTATTGGTTGAATATAAAAAAAATTTATAAAAACTTTAAAAAATCTTTAAAATTTCAAAAAAAATGAAAATAAAGAACTTTTTTATAAAATTAATTTTGAAATTAAAATTAAAATATTTTTCTTTAAAAAAAATCAGACGGGAACTTATAAAATTTTATTTTTCTTTCAATGTATCTATTAACACATTTATTTATATTTGGTACTGATTGAATATAAAAAAAATCTATAAAAACTTTAAAAAATCTATAAAATTTCAAAAAATGAAAAAATAAAGATTTTTTTTTATAAAATTAATTTAAAAATTAAAATAAAATTTTATTTTTCTTTAAAATAAAAATTTGGAATATTTTTGGTTTTCTTAAAGAAAAATATAATTTTATTTGAATTTTAATTTCAAAATTAATTTTAGAGAAAATCTTTAATTTCAAAATTTAATCATAAAAGAAACATAATAAGAAGGAAGGAAGACCTGGCAGGTCAAATCAATTAAGATTTTATTTTAATTTTAATTTCAAAATTAATTATTTTAATTAATTTTCTTTCCTCTCTAAAAAAGTAATTAAGATTTTCTCTAAAATTAATTTTGAAATTAAAATTAAAATTTTATTTTATTTTTCTTTAAAAAAATCAAAAATCTTCCAAAATTTTATTTTAAAGAAAAATAAAATTTTATTTTAATTTTAAAATTAATTTTATAAAAAAAAAATCTTTATTTTTTCATTTTTTTGAAATTTTAAAGATTTTTTAAAGTTCTTATAGAATTTTTTTTATATTCAATCAGTACCAAATATAAGTAAATGTGTTAATAGATACATTGAAAGAAAAATAAAATTTTATAAGTTCCCGTCTGATTTTTTTTAAAGAAAAACAAAATTTTATTTTAATTTTAATTTCAAATTAATTTTATTAAAAAATTCTTTATTTTTCATTTTTTTGAAATTTAAAGATTTTTTAAAAGTTTTTATAGAATTTTTTTTTATATTCAATCAGTACCAAATAAAAGTAAATGTGTTAGTAGATACTAGTATCACTAGTAGATACTAGTGGCAAACTGCCTTGCCATTTCATTCAATCAACCTGGGTTCGACTCCAGGAGTCTACGGCTTTTTATTTTTAAATTGCTTAAAACGACGTCGTTTCATCTCAATTGAAAACGACATCGTTTCATCCTAACGTCAACAATTAACGACGTTAATTTTTTCTGTTAAATTTGCAAACGGCGTGCTAAATTGGCAAGTCAACGAAAACATTGTTAATTAATTATAAAGTCAATGAATAGTTTGTGTTTTTTCCGACCAGCCCAAAAGTTTATGTTTTTTTTGGCAATTCGTGTAAAGTTCGTGCATTTTTTGGCCGAATTCCCATTAAGAAAAGGAAAATTTATTGTAGGTTTTATATAAGTTTTGTTTTCATTGTATAGAAGGATCTAAAAGGTTTGTAATATTATTCAAAACTTCAATAAAGAAACCTCTGAGGCAAAAGGTATTCGGCTTGATATTCTCTTTTAATTTCGTACCAAGGTTTTTTTCCTACGTGAGCTAGGGCGTATTCAATTAGTAGATATGCGTGCGTGTGTCGCGAGCAGGCCTTGCCTGTTGCCTAGTTATTCGATATTTTTCTAAACAAAACATGTTGACATTAGTTAACTAGTAATGTCACTAATGTCGACATCCTATTTTTACTGAGATATGTTTGAAGTTTCCCTTTATATAAGAGTCATAACAAGAAAAGAAAATTCTAATCACATTCAAGAACTCCACAAAGACAATGAAAAAGACTCAAAGTCCTTTTATTTTCTCTGCGGCCATCGCCATCTTCCTCCTCCTCTCCATCTCCCACTTCCCCGGAGCTCTCTCTCAATCCCAAGATGAGTGCAAACGTGAATCCAACAACACATGCATCGACAAAGACAAAGCATTAGATCTCAAACTTATAGCAATCTTTTCAATCCTCATCACGAGTCTTATCGGTGTTTGCCTTCCTTTCTTCGCCCGGTCCGTTCCAGCTTTCCAACCCGAGAAATCTCACTTCCTCATCGTCAAATCATTCGCCTCTGGAATCATCCTCTCCACTGGTTTCATGCATGTTTTGCCTGATTCTTTCGATATGCTCTCTTCTCCTTGTCTTGGCGATAACCCCTGGCACAAGTTTCCTTTCACTGGTTTTGTTGCCATGATCTCCGCCGTGTTCACACTCATGGTTGACTCTATCACCACCAGCGTTTTCACCAAGTCGGGTAGGAAGGAGTTGCGCCCTGAGGTGATGTCAGCTGAGACTCCTGACCAAGAGACGGGGTCCGTCCAGGTTCACGCATCCCATCACGGTCACGGTCACGGTCACGGTCATGGTCACGGTCTTCATGGAGATAATGATAAGGACCTTGGTTCTTCCTTACAGCTTCTGCGATATCGAGTTATTGCCATTGTTAGTATTTCTCCATTCAGTCTCGTTTCTTAGAAAATTTAAAAAGTAAACCTCTTAACTTGATTTTGATTCATTTTTAATCTAACACTTGAGGAAAAAATTAATTTAGTTTTTTTTTTATTTATGAAGAAATTTCTTTTCTAGTAAAATACTAAAAATAGTCAACGAGTTTAGATCTACATCTGACAAGAAATGAATTAGATTAATTTAGATTCACATAATACGGCTTTAATATGTCCCTTTTCCCCGCTTGCTTCTCGGGTTTGACTTTTTTCTATTTACTTTATTTATGAAATATAGAAACAAATATTTTTGGTAATATGGTTTTGGTTTTGCTATTTCACTTTGAGTTTAGTCTCTTTCTGGCAAAACAAATATAAAGTTTGACATTTTCCTAAAAAGTAATTTTAGTTGATGAGCATTGAGAGAAGTGAGTAATGAAATGAACAAAAATGGAACAGGTATTGGAGCTGGGAATAGTGGTGCACTCGATAGTGATAGGACTCTCAGTTGGAGCCACTAACAATACTTGCACCATCAAAGGCCTCGTCGCTGCGCTTTGTTTCCACCAAATGTTCGAAGGCATGGGTCTCGGTGGCTGCATCCTTCAGGTGAAATCATCCCTTCAATATTGTAACAAGTACGCATGGTTGGTTCTGAGCATAAGCTACCAAAAACATTGGTCTATGACCTCTTAAATTTTATTAAAAAAAATTAAATTTAAGTTCTCAAATTTATAAAATAATCTATATTTATCTCAAATAAAATTTGTGAACACGTGCAGGCAGAATACGGATGGGTGAAAAAAGGGGTGATGGCTTTCTTTTTCGCGGTGACAACTCCTTTTGGAGTGGCTCTAGGGATGGCATTATCTAAAACATACAAAGAGAACAGCCCTGACTCGCTCATTACCGTTGGACTTCTCAACGCTTCCTCGGCTGGGCTACTCATCTACATGGCTCTAGTCGACCTTCTCGCTGCCGATTTTATGGGACAAAAGATGCAACGGAGCATCAAGCTTCAGTTAAAGTCTTATGCCGCTGTTTTGCTTGGTGCCGGTGGCATGGCCGTCATGGCTAAGTGGGCTTGATAAAATAGTTAATGTAATCAAAAGATACTGCTCAAGTTATGTGTTCAGTTGCTCAAAAGTTTGTCAATGATATTCGTTCTGTTTTATCTGTAATAACAGTTTCCCGATCTATAACAAACTCACTTATCCGACTATATATTCGATTTGTCTTACAATTAAATTGTATTTAAAAGTTTACATGAAGAACAGTTCAAAAAAAGTATACATGAAGGATATTTCTTTATTAGCGAACTTTTATTGATTTCAAAACTGAAGCAATATCACAAAGTTCAGTTGTTACATCATACATGAACGCTGATTTGAATGTTTTTACAAGAATTAATAAGAGAGAAAAAAGTTTGCTCTAAAGGAAAATGAATTTTGCTGTAAGTGCAACTGAATGAACTTGGAGTTGCAAGTCTGAAGGACGTGATCTTATAACAGATGTGGTACCGAAGAATTAAGAAAATCGAGGGAACTTTTTATTTTGACAAAAAAAAAGACGAGGGAACTTTTGTATGTGTTTTATTCAAGCGTTTTTGTGTCATTACAATACGGTAGATGTTCAATACTATGACGTATTCGAAACTAGGTCCTAGAAAAAAATTAGTTTAGGAATGTTTATACTAAATTATGTAATAGAAAAGAGCTTTGTTTCAAATGATTGTGCTTACTTTATTCATTTACAAACTGATTTTATAAGTTTTTGCTAGCGCTAAACAAATAAATCGAACCCAAATATTCGGACCATAACTCAACCCAACGCTATGAAAATGAATCCGAATCAATCCAAACCTGACATAAATACCGAAGAGATTTTATTTTATAGTATTTTAGGTTGAGTTTTATCCGAACCAAAATTCAAACTTAAATGGATATCTAAAAGAATCCGCAACTTTAAAATTCTAAAAAATGAATACCCTATCCAATCTATATTTCTAATATGTAGTCAAAACACATTTAGATATTATTGAGTACCTACAATAATTAGTTACTACATAAATATTTAACTCAAATAGTTAGTCTAATATATATTTTTATTTAGTCAATATTAATGTTTTGTTGTTTGAGTTTGCATTTGAAGTTTAGTTACGAATATATTTGTTTTGAAGTTTAAACAATGTTATTTTTAAAAGTTTAAATAGTATTTTACGTTTAAAAATTGTTAGATGTTAATTTTTTATATGTTTAATTATCTATGATTTTCGTTCATATAATTCACTGACAAATCTCATATAGTTGATAGACGAATTTCATAAAATTATTTTAAAGGATAACAATATGGTCTAAAGAACTTACATACACAAATTTATTGAAAGGATTGAAAAGATATGAGTTTAATCAAGTATAAATTAGTATTTTTAAAATTAATAACTCGATTAGTATCCGAAACCAAAACTATTTTAGGTTCAACCGAATCTTGGACATGTAACTAAATCCGACGAAACCGACTAAACCCGAATGAATCCGATTCAAATTTTAGAAAATTCGAATATGATTGAAATTCATGAACTAAAAAACTCGAAGAAACCTAAACCGAACCGTCTGAGACCTGATTGTCCAGCCCTAATTTTTGCTTTAGTGCATTCAGAAAAATCTTCTGCATTATCGTCTGCATTGTCAGCATTCTCAACCTTTTCACAGAGTTTCTTGATACAAGAATTCTTCTAAAGACTTTCTCATTTTTTAAGATACCTAACCATTATTACAAATATGTTTTTGTTTTAAACATTTTAGAATTTTTGTAAGATAGACCATAGTTGCAGCGCTTTATAAATTATAAATCTCTACAAGAGTTTTAATCAAATAGCCTTTAGGCTCATATTGGCTTCTCGTGTATAACACCACAAAAGCTTATGAAAATTGGAAATGGGTATGTTTGTTCAGGTATCTATTCAAGTAAAAATCATCTATGTTAGATTTTGGATATTTCGAAAGGGATATTAGAATCCATTCAGGTATTTTACATATCTGGTCGGCTTTATATATATATTAGACATAGTTCAGTTATTTAAGGTTCTTACAAAGAATAAACTTTATTATTAATTATATACTAGATTTTGATCCACGCTTGAAAAGCGCGGAAATTTGTTATGATTAAAAATTTATATAATTGGATTTTGTCTTAATTTAAATAATGTTTTGGTATAAAATTAGTTTACCAAAATTTGTGGTGATAGTTGTTTTTCATTAGTTTTTAGTTTCAGTTTTTACTTTTAAATTTTGTTTAAATTTTGGTTTTTGATTTTTAGTTTTTAAGTTTCTATTTTTGATTTTCAGCTTTTGGTTTGAGTTTTTAATTTTTAGACCCGCTGAGTTAAATTGAACTGATATTACCAACAAACAAATCTCAATTAATAGAACATGTAATTTAAAACTGAAAAGATGACACAATAATTTTCTAAAATTTTTAAAATAGTTTATTTTGTAAATAAAAAAGCAAAAAATATAACTTGCGTTTTCAGCTTTTGCTTTTGGATTTTAGTTTTTAGATTTGGTTTTTGGTTTCGCTTTACATTTTTTTAAATCTGTAAATTATTTAAGAAAAATAAAACAATAAATTATTTAAAAGTTACCATTAAAATTTATCAAGATAGAGGGATTGTTATTTAAAATAAAAAAATATTAACATGTTTTAAAGTACATGATTTAAATAAGTGATTAATAATAATTAATTTTGTTTTGTTGAAAATATTAAATATTTTTGGGCTAAAAAATATTAACATGTTTTAAAATACATGATTTAAATAAGTAATTAATAATAGATAATTTTGTTTTGTCTTAGTTTAAAGAATATTTTGATATAAAATTAGTTCACCTAAATTTGTGGTGATGATTATTTTTCATTAGTTTTTAGTTTCAGTTTTTATTTTTAGATTTTGGTTTTTGGTTTTTAGTTTATAAGTTTCTACTTTTCTTTTTCAGTTTTTGGTTTGGGTTTTTAATTTTTAAACCCGCTGAGTTAGTTTGAACTAATATTACCAACAAACAAATCTCAAATAATCGAACATCTAATTCAAAACTGAAAAGATGACAATAAATTTTTAAAAAAAATGAAATAGTTTATTTTGTAAATAAACAAAGCAAAAAAATATAACATGTGTTTTCAGCTTTTGGTTTTGGATTTTAGTTTTTAGATTTGGTTTTTGGTTTTGCTTTATATTTTTTTAATCAGTAAATTATTTAAGAAAAATAAAAAAATAAATTATTTAAAGTTACCATTGAAATTTATCAAAACAAAGTGATTGTTATTTAAAATAAAAAAATATATTAACATGTTTTAAAGTACATGATTTAAATAAATGATTAATAATAGATAATTTTGTTTTGTTAAAAATATTAAATACCTTTTGGGTCTGAAAATAATAATTGATTTTTTGATCTTTTAAGGTGAAAAGTTTATTCAATGTTTTAGAGTTTTTTTCTTAATACTAAGCCTAAAAACCAAACTATATAATTTGTTCAAAAAATAAAACTAAGCCCAAGACTATATTCCATAAATAACCAATGGTTCAATTTAAGTATAATTAGTATATTTTCATATTCCATATTTTGATGATATATATTCTTTTACAACATTCCATATTTGCAGGAGAAAATATGTGTTTTTGGTATACACATAGATATCTGCCATATTTTGAAGTTAGTTTACATTAAGGTCGTCTCTTTACATTATTTGTGTTGGTTTAATTTAAGTAATACAGTTCAATCAATTATCTGACTTATATTATTTGTAACATTCTAGAATGGGTCCAAATTTAAATGACAACTTGTATCAGTAGATAACAAGAATGACTCTATTTTAATAGAGTAGATTTTTTAATTTTAAATAGGCTAAACGATTAATAGATTTGAAAACGAAAATAGAAAACACTAATTTAGTTATTGTTTTGGGAATTGGGATGAAATTTTTGTTAATCTTATATATTAAAACAGAAGTCACAACCTTGATTCATGTGTGATTTTTTTTAAAAATGAACTATTCCTTAGAAGGATTATGAAGATTATCAAATGTTACATAATTTAATGATAATATCTTTAAATATCTTTATCTTTCTATTTGTAATACAAATGAAATAACTCCAAAAAAAATCTTTTTGGCATCTTTTTAAATTGTATTTCCATAATATTACCCTATATATTTATATTTTATTTGAAATACAAATATTTCTGTTTAAGATATTAAAATTTATTTAGATAACATTATACATTCCTAAATTCTAAATAAAAAATTATATACTAGAGTTTGACCCACACAGATTTTTCATTTATAAATAGAACATTTTGATAGTATTATAAAAAATGTAAATATATGATTTACATTTAATGTTCTATGTTATATAACTATAATTTTTTGATTGTTATTACTTACTAATATATTTTTGAGTTTGGTACATAAATTATAATCTGAAATAATCAAATATATAATCTTGTTTAATATAAAGTTTTAGTTTCTGCAATTTGCGTACAATACATTTTAACATTTATTTAGATATATTATAATAAATATTTGTTAATGATAATTTATATTTTCATGTTATGTTTAAAAATGATACTTTAACATCTATTATTTTAGTATTTTACGAAATTTTATAAATAAATATATTATTATTTATTGATAATTTTTTTTTATAAATTATAAATAAAAAGAAAACCCGCACGGTTGTGCGGGTCAAGATCTAGTGTATTCTTAAAGGAAAACACATTTTACTAAATAAAAGCATTCTTAACATAGTTTTTGGTTATTAACTAATAAAATAATAAATATACAGAGTTTTTTTCATTTTAATATCCAGTTCATATTTTATTTTCATAATTTACATATTTACTTATTTTTATCAGCTTTTGGACATGATACATAATTATATTTTCTAATAAAAGTCACAGCGCCGTTACCAATCGAAGCCAAAGGTCAATCCCTTATACGCGATTTGTTTGGGGCTGGCGATCTATTTCCCCACCGTAACTATGTCGTCGCATTATTTCTCCACCATACTATTGCCTCGTTTCATTTCCCCACCAAACAAAAGTTAAATATCTATATACCCACCACAGCAAAGTTGAATATCTATTTCCCCACCCGAACAAAGTTTAACACTCAAATCCACACAGAACCATGATTAGTTGGTTAATTAGTTTGGTTAAGACGGGTTAGTTAAATACCGAATCTCGACTTAACCGAACTAAACTATTTTTAACGATTAAACCAACCTTAATCTATCTAAACCCAGAAAATCCCCAAATCAAAAACCTAAGAACCCTAGAAAGTGAAATCGAGAGAGTGAGAGAGAATTCTCGAGAGAAAACAACACGAATTCGATTGAATTCGTGTTTACCATGTCTGTAGTACCTATAATCGGCGAAGGAGGGTTCGAAATTGATGATGAAGCGATTGAGCGAGAAGAGTTTGAACTCGACGAATTGTTGCGAAATTTCGTGAGTGAGCCGCCAATTCAGCATGATGTCTTGCCTGAGAGCGATGAAGAAAAGGAGGAAGAAGATCCTGAAGCTCCACAGAGAATGCGAACGCATATACGCCGTGGTGATGGGCATTTGTACCGAGACCAGACATTCTTCAATGGTGTGGCTTTCAAAGACAGAGTCCTCGATTATGCCCTTAGGACTCGCCGGAATATCAAACAATACAGGTATGATAAGGATAAGATTGGTTTCGAATGTGCTGGTCATGGTGAGAATGATGAAGCTTGTGGGTGGAAAATTTATGCTTCGATCCTTCCGAAGGATAAAATTTGGAGAGTTAGGTTGTATGTAGATAAACACACATGTGAGGTTAATGGAGAGTGTGAGATGGTGAAGGTCCCTGTGATAGCTAGGTTGTTTGTGAACAAGATCCGTGAAGAGCCGGCATACTATATGCCTATGAAGATCGAGGAGTTGATCATGGAAAATTGGTCTATTAGTGTGTCTAGACCTCAGTGTCAAGCTGGTAGGAACAAGGCTTTGAAGTGGATAAAGAGTGAAAATGATCACCAGTTTGCACGCCTTAGAGATTATGCTGCCGAGATTGTAGAATCAAATCCTGGTTCTTCTGTTGAAGTAGACACGTTCCAAAATGCTGAAGGTCAAGATGTCTTCAATCGATTCTATGTTTGCTTTGACGCTATCAAGAATACTTGGAAGGACAGTTGTAGGCCATTGATAGGACTTGATGGTTGCTTCCTCAAAGAGAGAATCAAGGGACAATTACTGGTCGCTTTAGGTAGAGATGCCAACAATGCTATTTATCCAATAGCTTGGGCTGTTGTAAAGGTGGAAAATAACGAGAATTGGCAATGGTTTGTGCAAAAACTGAAGGTTGATTTGGATTTAAAGGACGGTGACAATTACATTGCTGTCTCAGACCGTAGTCCGGTAAGTTTTTTTTTTGCTTTGGTTGAAATCAGTGCTTCTTTATGGTGTTTTTTTATTAAGTTTGTTGTTATGTATCAGGGATTGGTCAGAGCTATTAAGATTGAGTTGCCTAAGATGGAGCATCGAAAGTGTGTAAGACACATCTACGGGAATTTGAAGAAGAAACATGGCAACAAAAAACAGATGAAGTCCTACATATGGAGTTTAGCATGGAGCTACAATGAAGCAAAGTATCAACAAAACTTGGACAGGTTAAGATGCTACGATACAGGTGTGTATACAGATGTTATGGCTACAAATCCGAAGAGTTGGTGTAGAGCTTTCTTCAAGCTGGGAAATTACTGCGAAGATGTGGAGAACAACTCGACAGAGTCTTTCAACAGCTCCATCAACAAGGCAAGAGAAAAACCATTTGTGCATATGCTTGAAACAATAGCAAGACTTGCTATGGTACGTATAGCCACAAGATCCAGAGAATCTCATGATCACCAAGGTAAGTTTTCTTAAATACTTCTAATTTTTAAAAAATATAATCTCAGTTAACTTAATTGGCACTCTCTTTGTCAGGAAAATGTACGCCATATGTGCAGAGAGTTCTCGCTAAGGCTCTTGTTGATAAGCCCTTTAAAGATGGAGCCAACAAATGTGTTGTTAGAACAAGCATTAAAGGCTACTTTGACTCAAGACTAAATGGCCAAACTCATCGTGTCAATTTGGAGAAAAGAACTTGTTCTTGCAAGAAGTTCGACATCACTGGAATTCCATGTAAGCATGCGTATGGTGTGATTCTGAAGTTAAAGCTTGATCCGTCAGACTATGTTTGTGAGTGGTTTCGCACGGCTAAGTGGAGAAGAAACTACACAGATGGAATTGTTCCAGTCAGAGGTTCTATGTTTTGGCCCAAAACAAATGCTGCTGATGTACATGCTCCACCTATAGATGGTGAACAAGGGGAAGAAACAGAAGGAGAAAGAGGGAAAGAAACATGTAAGAAGAAGCTCACCAAAGCGGATAAGACAAGAAAAAGAGGTGTAAATGAGTCACCAACCAAGAAGCAACCAAAAGCAAAGAAAAGGACTATGCATTGCGGCATTTGTCATAAGGCTAATCACAACTCGAGGTGGCATGCAAAGCATGATGATTCGGTACCGGTAAGCACATCTCAAACTGAAGGTGAATCCTCGCAAGGAACTCTCACTCAAGCTAGTGTTTCTCAAGCTTGAATGATTTGATATGTAATGGAACCTATTATCTTTTGTTTTGAACTTAAATCTCTCGGATATGTAATGACATATATCTTTGGTTTTGAACTTAAAGGTCTTGGATATGTAATGACATTTATCTATCTTTGTTTTGCACTTGATATTATCTTTTGTTGTTGCAGCTAAAAGCTTGTATATTATCTTTTAAATCATTGCATAATTCTGAATATTATCTATAAAAGCTTGTATATTATCTTAACAATCAATTTAAATTAGACAAATTCATAGCATTAATAAAATTGAAATCATGTCAAAGTACACAAACCACAATGATCATACACACAAACCACGAGATTACTAAAAGCTAAAACAAGGTCATTCTTCTAAACATTTTCAACCAAATAGCTTACTAAATCCAACCATGACCATACACAAAACAACTACAACAACCATCATTTTCTTCATCGTAGATGATGATTCAACCAAAGCCTCTTCAACTCTCTCGAAAATCTCCTTCTCAAGCTTCATTTGCACATTCTCAAACACTATTCTCTCAAACTCATTCCTCTCCATTGTAACTGTCTCCAGTTTTGCCGCAAGTGAAGCATTTTTCATTTTCAATGCCTCTATCTCATCTAAGTGAGCCTCATCGACCCACTTGAAAGTGTGGTTATCATTCGAAAGCTATGCATTATTTAGACAAAACGAAAGTTAAAAGACAACATTAACTAAACGAAGGATTTTAATCAAATTACCTTCTTAGATACAGCATATCCGCAACGATAGTAACGCCGGTACGGATTGTTGCTGGATTTAGATATCAATTCCATTATTGGAACCCCACAATGACAAATTCTCGGCACACCAAACACTCTAACTCCAGAACGTCCACTTGACGATCCACTAGAAGCTCCAGACACGTTACTCATGGCTTTAGATCGGAAAATTAACACAGAGTGAAGAGAGATCAAGAACAAAAACCAAAAAGCACTCGACAATAAGAAAAGGAGAAGAAGAACTCTGAGATTCACATTCTACAGTTTTAAGCAATTAAAGAGAACACATAACTGTAAATAACCATAAACTCACCGTCAATTTCAAGAAATCAGAGTGAAGGAGGAAGGATTGAACAATTGGCTTTCGAATTTTTTTAGGGTTCTTATCGATTTGGGATTTTTTAGATTTAGGATTTTTGACCGTTGGGGTCGGGTTATATCGCAGAGATATCGGTCCGGTTTACCAATATTTGGGTTTATGTTCGGTTTACTAATGGAGGTTTGATGGTTTGGTACTCGGGTTTCGACATTTAACCATCGAAATTGGTCGGGTGGGGAAATAGATATTCAACTTTGCTGTGGTGGGTATATAGATATTTAACTTTTGTTTGGTGGGGAAATGAAACGAGGCAATAGTATGGTGGGGAAATAATGCGACGACATAGTTACGGTGGGGAAATAGATCGCCAGCCCATTTGTTTGTGTTAAACTTCCTTTTCCAACTTTGCTTTTCGATTATTAGTTTGGCTGTGAATAAAACCGAGCAGCGTATAATGGGTTCGTGGCTCGCTCGTGCTGAAAGTAAACCTTTATCCAAAGTGGCGGCGGTTCGAAACATGAAAACTTAGGGTTTTTTTATATTCCACTCTTTTAAACAAATTCCAATTCGCCTCCTTTTCTCTCTCTCTCTCTCGTCTCGATCCTCTAAAAAAAAGATCTCCACCACCAATGAAGAGACGGCGTAAAGGCAGAGTAAACTCTGAAGCACCCCCCGACCAATCAGCGGCGGATTTCTCCTTCTCTCTAACCAGAGTCGCCGTCAGCCAAATCTGCCTCTCCGTTGGATACACATCAACCGATACCTCCTCGACGCTCAACTCTCTAACCCTAATCACGACTAAGTTCTTGCAATCAATCGCTGAACTCGCGGCGTCGTTCTCAAACTCAGCTAATCGCACGGAGGCTAACCTCTTCGACATCGTCAACGGTCTGCAAGACACCGCCCTAGCCACGTCCGATTGTTTCCCCGGCGGATCCACGTTGCACAAATCGCACTGCCTGATCAAATCCGCTGTTCTCCGTAACCTCTCCGATTTCGTCGCCTCCGCTTTTGAGATCCCTTTCGCAAAGCCGTTACCGAGGCTCGAAATAGGAGATTCGACACGTGTGCCTCCTCGGTCCTCACCGGAGATGAAATCGATTCCAGCTTGGCTTCCGCCCTTCCCCGACTCTAGCCTCTACCTCGACCGATGTAAAGAGGATAAGTCCGATCGTCTGTGGGAGAACTCCGATTCTGTTATTGCCTGTGAAAGTTTTCCGGAGAGGTCTAGAGGTAGAAACCGCAGAAGCGGAAGTCTACCGCTGAGGAGAGCGAGAGTCAGATTCAAGGTGGAACGAGATTGGAGCAATGGCGTTGGCTCTTGTAATAGTGATACGAGATTGGAACGTTGGAGGGATATTAACCAAGACGAATATGAGGTTAAGAAGAAAATTGTAGAAGAATACATATACGGTGCCGATGTTGATGCTGGCGAGTGGCCTAGATAGCTATCATCTACTGGCGATGGAGGAAAAAAAATTCAAAACTGGATACTCTTTGAACTGGAATCGAACCCGCGAAGTTAGATAGCATCATCAGCTGGTTATACCACATGAGCTGCATCTTTACATGTTTCAGTCTCTCAATCTCTGTTTTTAAGTATTGTATTAATATATTGATTCCCTTTATGAGGCTATTCATATAAAAATTTTAATTTTATAAATGATAGAATTGTGTTTTTATATTTTTTTCAAAAATGCAGGATTACAAAGGAAAGAAAATAACGAAGTATACCCAATGTTAATTTTGGCCATAACAAAACCTAAAAGATGCTAACCCTAGACATGTTATATATTCACTAATTCTTTTAAAATGTAGATTAAAACAATAATTAGTTAGTTTTTAATCAAGTATACATGCCAAGTTGTTGTCATATCTTTTTCTTTTTGACATCCGTTGTTGTCATATCAAATCATGTAACTTTTTTGTTTCATTTTTCTTTTCATTTATAGATATAAAATTTGTTTTATTTAGAAATTACATGATTTGATGTTTTTGTTTAAATTTTGGTATTATATCACTACAAGAAATACATATTTTTTACGAGGACCGTTATCCTTGTTAATTGATCGTAATAGGACAATTACGACGAATTAACAAGCATCGTAATGGACTATTCGTCGTAGAGCCCATGTAGTGTTACTAGGAAAGATTGTCGTTGTAAAAGACAAGGAAAGGCTTCATCGTAAATTTCATGTTACAATTCGTCGTAAACTCATTGTTCCGTTTCCTCGTAATGTCCTTATAAAATTTTTTTGCTAACTCCTTGTAACTTTACAAGGAATTTACTATTCTTCCATGTAAACTCGTAATAAACTTTACGAGGAAATTACTAGAAATTTCATGTTAGCTTGTTGTAAAATTTACGAGGAATTTACTTGGTATTAATATATTTTATAACTTTTTATATTTTATATTTATAAATATATTTTTTTTTATAAAATTCTTAATTTAAATTATAAAACCAAATATTTAAAAAATTTATAGTTTAAAAAGCCATAATATAAAAGTCATAAATAATATATAAATTTATAATACAAAACAAAATAAAAAAAACTATGGCATGTTGTTGCCGTGGTACTCGTCGGGGCGGGATGGTTCTGGGCCACGTCGACCAGTTGACTTGGGAGGATGTTACTGCATTCCATGAGCCGCTCGTCTTTCATTCCACGCTCTCTGCATAACCGCGTTCCCAGTCGCCATAATGTCCAGCAGATCTTCAAGTGAGTCCAAACGCTCCTGCTGGGAATCCATGCGAGCCCGCATCCGAGAAGTTTCCTCATCTCGTCTCGAAGTATATGAAGAAGTCATCCTTGGGGCTTCGTTGACAGAACTTATTCCCACCGTCCGTCCCTTCTTTCTAGAAACTATTTTTTTCAAAAAATAAAATTATATAATACATTAATATTTAATTATATATAAAAGAATTAATATAAAAAATTAAATTTATTAGAAAATTTAACCTCTTCAAAAAATTGTCTACTTCTTCTGTGTGACGGGTAATCCATCGGGAGCCTGCTGGGTTAGATGTGTCTCCCGCTCCTCAACCTGAGAAACCACATCGTTATAGAGTTTCTCAGACCGTGGATCCACAAAACTCCATCTGCTATGGCGTGAGTCATCCTCAATAGTTCAGTCAGAGATGGCATGACTCCGGTACTCGGCTTGCGAAGAAAAAGAGTTCATTTTTTTAAAAAAAATTAGTTAATACATAAATTTAAAAATAAGTTCAATTTTAAAAATAAAATTTACAACATCTAGACGGATCCCGACATGAGGTTTTTGGCGGGTTCTATGAAGCATAGGCTCATTGCCGTCTTTATCCTCTGTTCTCCGGGAATAAGAGCACGAGTTGGACTTTTTGATCGAGGAAAGTGTAGGCTCTCCAATAGCGGATGAGACCATCCCATGCAAACTTTCAGATCTCCTTGGGCTTTGCTTCATAAATGTGGGTTCCCACTTGTCCTTCCAATCCGAGGTGTTGCAAAGGCCGATCTTGGATTTTGCTACAAAAGCCTCCTTCACCTTCTCGTTGATCGTTAAGGACCAGTGCCACTTTTGCTGAAACAAAAAAAAGTTCCAAAAATATTAAAAAATTAATTTAATTTATAAAAAATATTTACCGCAAACATTTTAAACCACATTGTCTTTACGTGTTCGGATGAGGCTCGAGAAAATACCTCATTCATCGTCTTTGAAACATTCCGACTGACGCGTTTGTTTGCTCCAAACCTAAAAATAATATCAATTTGTTAGAACAAAAATAAAATAAAATTTAAAGTAATAAAAAAAAACTTACCAATAAGTACTCCACAAACGATCGGATCCGGTAACCCTTCTCGCCCCGGTTAGGCAAGAAGATCCTCCACAGTATATTCAGCATATGATGCAGATCTAGGTACCCGCAAATTTGGATGAACCTGATCACCATCTGCTGGAGCGGTAGCAGGTGGAGCTGCGGGAGGTGGAGGCATCTCATGATAGGGTATCTCATTGGCGGGATAATATGCTTGCGAGTCAGGTACAGCCTCGGATAATGACGTTCCGAAAGAAGATGTCCCGACACCATCAGTACCAAACATCTGACTATAAGTACGACGTATTCCAGTTGGTCTAGGAGTCATCTAAATGAAAAAAAATAAACTTCCGCATCCGGTTATCTTAAACTTATCACATAAACTAATTACGTAAACTAACTACCTAACCAAGTTATTCCTGAATTTCTAAAGTGTGGGTATGGAATGAAGCTAACTTGCTCGGCTTGAGAAGCTAAGATGAAAAGTTTGAATTTGTTGTATCTTCTTAAAGAATTGACATCCACAACACCGAATTTGTTAAACCAAACAGTCATGTTCACAACAGTCTCGAACTAGTCACATTTGAAGAGGACACATTAGAATTTCAATAATCTCGCAAATTCCATTTCAATTATCTCTTGCATAATTCTATAAAGGGAAAACTTTTTTTTTAGACCAAATAGGTTTGGACATTGTCCCTTTAGTCTAAATTATATTTTGTACCAATTTTGACTCTAATGCCCTTTATTTATTTCCGAAATTATTAAAAAAATAGATTTATGAAGCAAAAAAAAAATTAAAAAAATAGTACATAATGATGAAACCCCTATATCTATATAGTGATACTTTTTCCTGTTTTAAAAATGTGTAAATAATAATTTCATATATTATTGTACCGAAATTAGAATCTGTATACTACAGATTAGAATACAGAATCCGCTTTTTTCACTATTTCTACGAACTGTAGAATATGTTTTCTACGCAGATAACACAAATCCAAAATAGTTTGGAATACACATTCCACTCTTATCATAGAGTTCTAATAAAAGTAGAAATTGAAATCTAAATTCTTACTTAAATCTAAAACTAGTAGAAATCGGAATCTACATTGTTACAACGTTCTAATACATGTAGCAACTGATGTCATATCTCTTAACTCAGTTCTACCTTTAGTAGAATCTGAATTATACGGATAAATATTATTAGATCCGAAAATATAGGAAGAATATATAGGAAATATTTGGTTTCCATATTTAAAATTCAATTTTTTAAAAAAGAAAATAAAATTTAAAGGCAAAAACGTTTTGCCTGGGCACAGGATCGATCGATCTCACCTAGGGGATCGGTCGATCCAGAACGATTGATCTGTACGATCGATTAGACTCTGATAAAGTCGAAAAAAATCGCGAAACAGTGTGGTTTAGGCTCAAGAATCGTCCAAATCAGAGCAAAACTGAGTGAGTTAGGGTTTATGAATGAGGAACCTCCATTGTCTACCTTTTTACGTGATGGCAAAGAAGAGAGTGATGGGTTTGATCCCAAAAACACGAATTAGTAGGTTAAATCGTGTTTACTCGGTTTAAATCAAATGTGAATTAAACCAGATATAACCGAAAGAAAACCATGAAATAGAGTTGAAAGAATTAACTGGGATCGGGATCGAACGATTTAGAACAGAGATCGATCGATCTTTGGTAGATCAATCGGTGTAGATCGACTGAACTTTAAAAGGTCGATCAGTTTCTGCTCCGTGCTTTTTTATGTTTTTGTTTAATCATCGAGATCGACCGCTGGGATCGATCGCCTCTTTACGGGATCGATCGATCCCGTCATATAGAGCAGTTTCTTTTGTCATTTTTTCCCCGATTTGAAGATTTTTATTTTTAATTTTTTTTTACGATTTTTACGTGAATTAAGGGCATTATTGCCATTTAGAAAATATTTAGCCTAATGGGACATAAAGTACTAGAGGTTAGTCTAAAGGGACAATGTCCAAACCTATTTGGCCTAAAAAACTATTTTCTCTTCTATAAAAATTTTTTTCTCCTTTCACACATATTCCGTAGTTATTTGTTGTCCAGCGACTCCCATAGTCGTATGTATGAAAGGTAAAACCTCGTGTAAAATACATAGGTTATCAAGTGATTTTTGATCCGTTTTAATATTCATCATCCTAGCTGCTAGAGACAATTTAGAGTGACATTCTCTACAACCAGTGTAGTTTGGTTGATTTGCAGCATCTAGCATTTCATAAAACCTTTTTGCATCTAAATTAGGTTCTTCAGCATTTTCAGTTTCATCTGCTATTGTTGTAGTAGTTTCTAAAAATGAATCAGTAATCATGTCTTGAACCCTATCATGATATACTATCTGTTCAACAGCCTGATTATATTCGTTATGCAAATGATTTGGTTCCTCATTATTACCGACATTCTGAAAATTACTATTACTACTACTAGCTTCATTTTCTCCATAACCTTCTCCCTTTTGAAACCAAAGATAGTACTGTGGTGTAAAACCTTTGTGTACTAATTTTTTTCATACAGTTTTAGTACGGGCAAATTTTGAATTCTTTCATTTCCGACAAGGACAGAACATCTTACCACTTTCCTGCGTGAGAAGTGTACAGTCTGCATGGTTCATGAATGTCTATAGCCCGCCAAGAAATACAATCATCATTCTACCATCAGAATATTTATGCGTATACATCCAACTCCGCAATTCGAAAATATTTCTTCCATCAAATATTGTTTTAGTTGTTTTTCCTTTTTTTTGTGTGTTGGTATAGAATGAGAATGCTCACATATATAGAAAATTCTTTGAGCTTGGTAGGTGAAAGTTTTACTAGGTATTTA